CCTATTTTAGAACCAAAATAAGGCCTTTCACTCTTCCCCGACGCCTATTCAAGAGATTGTACGGTGTATTGTTTGTTTTGTGCATGTGTTGTGGACAAAAAATGACCACGCCCATTTAGTGATTGCAATATGTACGTAATAGAAACCGCACCCCGAACTTGAGCTTTTGATCCCAATTTTTAAATTGATACATTGTAATATAAACCGCGGTTTATAATAGGACTTTAACGGTAGTATGATCACAAGTAGGTCTGCAATTATATGAACAAAATTCTCTCTTATTTTATCATTCACGGTCATTTGTAATTTGCCAAAATTAATGACAAATTTTGCATGAAATCGCTTCACTGATTGGCTGTCTTGCATAAAATCTCATTGCTGATTGGCTAATTTGTATACATTCTCAACACTAATTGGCTGATTCAAATCAACTCAATTTAATTCATTCTGTAAACTTCATTCTGATTGGTAGTCTAGCTCTTGTACTCATTGTTGATTGGTTAAGATTGAATTGTTGCTAGCAAGTAGGATGCATGTAATGAACATCTAATTGAGGACCATTTGCATGAAAGGGGTTGTGAGACCCACCTGGTTTTCTAACATTACCGGGTAATCTCAAATAGGCTTGGTGCATGATTTCATTGCAGTAAGTCGTTACCTAAACAACAAAACAAAGATAATAATCAATCCAGTTACTTTTCATTGAGACGTACATGTAGTTCTAAATTAGCAGCACAACAGCCTTAATAATCAAACACAGTCACAGGTAAGAACAGTTGGGTTATCACCACATTAGTTATACAGCACTCTGATTGGTTCAATGCACATTAATATTCATGATACTAACTATGGCCCAGCCAATGGGTACTTGTATTTTGTATTTCCATCTTATTATTATCCTGTTATTAACCAATAAAAATGGTGTTTTTAAACACAATGTGGAAGTGAAGTAAAATATGATCTGTTAGCAACTGTTGGTAAAAACTGTTGATTCACAATTTTTGATAGGAAAACTTAGTGTGGAAGAAGTATTTAGAACATTTCACGGTCACCAACAGGTCACACCGAAGCATAGTTTACCCGTTCACGTACACATTCACGATAGTCTGAATGAACACTGTGATTATTCGGGAAAGTGAAGCATTTCATGACTTGACAGTCATATTTTCAGTGTTTCGAAAGTAACCATATGATGAGTTATGGATATACTTAAGTATTACAACATTGGGTTCATTGCAAGTAAT